CCCACTCATCTTAAAGCCCACTCATCTTAAAGTGGCCAAGTTTGGACAACACTGGTGTAAGGTTAGAAGCTCTAGGTGCATTACAGCATTTTCTCTGGAAATTGTGACTCGGTGGCAGCTGGGAATGCAAAGCAGGGTGCAACTGTGAATTTGCATTGTTTGGGGAAAGCAGGTGTCTGTTTAATGTTTAGATTGATTTATCATTTCCTTCTAGTCCTTTTGTACATCCATGAAAAAGCCCGATTGGCTTGTTTTGAAGTTCTTGGTCAAGTGCCACCAAATTAAAATTCAGTTGTTGGCTTAATCAAAGTGCTCAGTAACAGTTTGGCTTGCTACAAAGCCATAGGGGCATAATTCACCCCTAGAAACCATGCGCCACAATGGCTGGGTTCATAGAGCGCTCTGAGCCAGAAACATAGGATTGTAGGTGTGAACTCAGCCAAGGGGACTTTTGTATGGAAAGTCCTGGCAAATTAAAGTTGCAACCCTAGCCTACTTGAAAGTATTCCAACTGAACAGAATAGGATTTCTTTCTGAGTCAGTTGTATGTACTGCGCTTGTCTGGTGTGCCTCCTATGGCTTAATGAAAAGTTGAATCACTTTTGGATTTTCTGCTCCCAACGCAAATGTCCCAGAAAATATGTAAATCTAATTATTTCAGATGAGATAACTGAGAAGTTCACTTGCTATAGCTTCCTTCTCACCAGATTAATATTTTACCGGGCCTCTACAGAACCATCTGTCACTTTTCGCAACCAGCGCCTCATGGCTTAAAAGGAAGTGCCAAAACCAACAGCTATGTAATGCAGAGAAGCCGGTCAGCATGACACAGCAATAGAGCAAGGAATACTGCTCTATTTGGCACAGGCCCCAGGTTGTAAAAACAGCTGGAAGCAGCATTTCTCCCCACCCTTCTCGGCTATATTTCAGGCACACTCATTTTCGTCTTAAGCACTGATCTCCAGAGGCTCTAACAAGAGCATTCTGTACCTCCCATTCCACTCTATCAGAAATCTTTGATGCTCAAATTATAGGGAGTGGGACTCCATTGACACTTATGGGGATATAGATATAGAGTGCCTTCGAATCTTGGCAACATTTTTAGAAGCTGTTTGCCAATGCCCTCTTCCTAGGGCTGCAAGAAAGTGACAGGCTCAAAAAACCAATCTCCTGGTTCTTAGCCTAGTGCCTTTAACCACTACACCAAACTGCCTCTCACTTACATGCATCAAAAAAAGACATTTTCCCCAAATAAGCAAGCAAAGGACTTTATGTAGATGGAACAGAGCTTCTGTAGTACAGCTATCCCATAGCAACATTTCCTCCTTCTGACCCCACAAAAGACTCACAACCATATCTACAAATCTGCAGTTGTCTGGTGTGCAACAGGAGAGAGACCTCCCCAGCCAAGCTGAAAACAGACAACCCCATTACGGCTTTGTGTTCCGTGTAAACTCGGGCAAGGACTGCTGCTAGCAATACAATCATTTAAAAAAATAAAATATAATGCTACCCCAGTATGGTTGAGTGTGTTGTGTGAATGGCGTATTCAGCAAACCATGGTTTAGAAATATTCTGGCCTAACATTATATGGGGGAACTAGCAAATGAGGAAGTCATTGGCAGAACTCAGATTCATGTAATGCACGATGACAGCAGTGGTAATGAAAAACATAGTTTCCCATGAAAAGATCATAGAAAAGTTAGAATTGTCCCTGCTATATTGGGAAGGTTGGAAAATATGCTAACATGACCATAAAATGTCATCTGTTGTCCTCCACCAGATAACATAGTGACTCCTCATATTACAAACATACACACCTTCCCCAGCTGCATCTGACAGAGAAGGGGAAATTTCTCTTTGAGTAGAAGCCTGTCATCAAAGTGGTGACAAATTGGCCATTTTAATGCCAAGTAATCGTCCTTTACCCAGCTAGACTTGGGGCAAGGATGAGGCCAAAGCAAAAACGAAATAGCATTGAAACGATTAAGCCAGCAGCATCACCTCTTTCCTATATAGAAGTCTAGTAGCTCAAGCGAAAAGCAAACTTCCTGCTATTTTCAAGATCTTTAATCCCATTTGTTTTCAATAAACTTTTTTTTTTAAATGCTGCTTTTGCATGAAAAAGACACAGAAAGGAAGCAGGAGATCCCTAGATGTTTCTTTTACCGATTGATTTTTTTTTTCATTATTCAGAAAGTAAATACAAATAGTCACAAAGAAAAACAAAGGAAAAAGTGCATTGATATAGATGTTCCTTTTTAAATTGTAATTCTTGGAACTACAGCAGTTTGGGGCTGCTATAACAGGCTGGCTTGGGAAGATAACTGCGCTGGTATCTGTTGATTACTCCCCAGAGGTATTTACCTATAATCACCACGGGAAGAGGTTTGGCGCTGCTCCGTTCCAGATGTGTATGAAACATGGCTTATTCGTTTGCTCTGCCAGCAGAGTTCAAGGACCTCCAAGTCTGCCTGTAATGATAAGGCCACACAAATATGCGTTATCACCAAAGCATGGATTATTGTTTCTCTGACCCACCCCAAGCAGATGACACAGAAATAAAGGCTCAAAAACTGGACAATTCAGCAAGAAAGTGGAGAACATTAGCAAAATTTCCAGTCCAACCCCAAGTCTGTCTTCAGGGTGCAGACATTTTGCCCAATCCCAGAATGGAAGTGTTTTGTTTCATTACCCAGTGCAATGATGGCCGCCAAGTTGGGAT